AAAATAGGCGTTGGTCGGCCTGACTTTACTTAGGACGGCCAACTGTACTGAAAAAAGGGCCCAGTAGGGCTTATCAAGGCCTCGGGCTTCGCAGTTTTTTTTTGTTTTTTTTTTTTCTCGTTTTTTTTTCGTTTTTTTTCGTTTTTTTATTTTTTTTTGTTTTTTTTTTCCCACCCCCTCCCCGTCACGTGGCGGGGCCCCGGGAAAGATGTCTCGGCCACACCCGAGCAAAAATGAATCGTTTTCTGACTGTATCGACCCCGAAAAACCACGCATACACATTCATGGCTCCACCCTTCGAAAAGATGAAAACATCCAACGTGGAGAAGGAAAAAAAAAGAACCACACATCCAACTGCTCAAGGGGCTCTCCCTGATCATGAATGCACACATCCAACTGCTCAAGGGGCTCTCCCTGATCATGAATGCATACTACCGGAAAGGCCGCTTATGGACATTGATCATCAGTCACTTTGTTCATGACTCAGGATGATGACTGTTCTGGACCGGAGATACAGCATATACACATCTTCTCCCTCTCTCTTTCTCTCTCGCTTGCGTGCGCTGTGCGCACACGCGCACGAGAGAGAGAAAGAGAGAGAGAGAGAGAGAGAGAGAGAGAGAAAGAGAGAGAGAGAGAGAGAGAGAGAGAGAGAGAGAGAGAGAGAGGTGGCGGTACTGTCCGTCCACGCTTGCAGTCACAGACAGACTCCACGTTTACCGGACCAAGTACCGGTTTCTTTGAGCACTGAAGGCAGGGACGGTGCGTGGCACGATCTATTTCTCAAGTGCTACAAAATGGCAGCCCAAGTTTCAACCGCATTTGAAACTCGGGCCGTGACTGGACTTCCACACAGACACACACATACACACATTTTGGCATGCACCCTTCCGGTTGGCTACTGCGTGTCAGACATAGACCACACAGGTCCGTTGCGACTTCAAGTGGCACGCAGTAGCCAACTTAGGAACAGACACGCAGGCACATGCACACACACTCACACATACACAGTCACACACACACTGACAGAGAATCACATACAGCCACTCTTACACAGACACACATACACAGCCACACAGACACACACACACACATTCTGGCATGCATCCTTCGGGTTGGCTACTGCGTGCCAGACACAAACCACACAGTTCCGTTGCGACTTCAAATGGCACGCAGTGGCCAACTTAGGAACAAACACTCAGTCACATGCACAGACACTCACACATACCCAGTTACACACACACTGACAGAGAATCACATACAGCCAGTCGTACACAGACACACAGAAACAGCCACACAGAAACACACACACACGTTCTGGCATGCACCCTTCGGGTTGGCTACTGCGTGCCAGACACAGACCACACAGTTCCGTTGCGACTTCAAATGGCACGCAGTAGCCAACTTAGGAACAGGCACACAGTCACATGCGCAGACACACACATACACACATACACACACGCATACACAGACATATAAACAAAGAAAGACTCATACACAGACACATACACAGACACATACACAGTCACACACACATAGACACACATCACACACAGGTTGACACATAAACGACACACACACACACACACACACACACACACACACACATACAGCCTCACAGATACACATACACACGGATTTGTATGCAGAGAGAGAGAGAGAGAGAGAGAGAGAGAGAGAGAGAGAGAGAGAGAGAGAGAGAGAGAGAGAGAGAGAGAGAGTCGTTGACGTCATTGTGCGTTTCCGCTGGCAGAGAGAAAAGGAGGAAAGAGGAACCATACTTATCATGTCGATGTCAGTAGCGCAGGTGCAGGCTGCGCTTGCAGAGGTGATGAAGTATGCAAAGGAGGGCGTTCACTACGACAATGACAACGAGTTCTCTTTGCTTGAGGACAGGGTGCCGAGGTGCTTCATTGTCAATGTGGATATGAGATCCACGATGATGGCAAACGGCGAGGGGTGTGTCAAAGCACAAACACTGTTGCAGCGCTTCAGAGAGTCACCACATATACGTGTGGACAGCGACGTGGAAGACCGTGCATATAGTCTGAAAGGAGTAGTTCAGTGGATGTGCAGCGAAGGGATGTGCGAAGAAGGGGACGTGGACATGACAATGCTGCAGAAAGGGGGGAGATATACACCTTCGGATTTCAAGAAGTTGCTGGGCACTTCCGCTAAGAATTCGGAAATGGTTGTTGATGGGTCGAAGGACGAGTTGAAGAACGGTGCATCGAGAATTTTGGTGTTCTCCAGAATGAAGGACATAACACAAACACCTCCAGAAGACTTTCAAGATGTTCCTGTCATAGTCGCAGATGGTGTCGAATATGTTCTACTGGATCAACTTGTGGACTTCATGAAAAATAGTCCCAACGACAGGAACGTCATCCATGAGGCATTGCATGAAGTCACAGAGTTGACACTGCAGGGTCAAGAGCTAATTGAATATATGCCGGCAAGAAAGGAAGACATCATGATATGTGGCATACCGTTGTGGGAGGGTATGTTATATGCTGCTTTGGAGCAGCTCGGCCATGCCGGTTGTGATGTTGATAGACAAAGAAAAAAAGAAGAAGGGTGGAAGTCGATGGTCAGGGAAACAAATCTTGCTATGATTTCACACAACGGACAGACATCAGCGGCACAGGAAACAATGAACAGTATGTCAGTCGTTGTACCTCCCATGCAGACGACAACGACGGAGGAGATAGAGGAAGAAACTATGTTCAATGGCTTCACAATGGGTGAACAACAGCGTGATCGTGGATTCCAAGATCCCGAGTTACCAAGTTGTATTGCAGAGTACACAGGAAATGCAGAAGAAGAAGATGAAGAAGAGGATGACGGGGCATCATCTTCTGAGGTGGAAGTGAGTGACAATGATGTCAGCAGCGACGAGGAAGGAGAGGAACGTGATGTGTACTATGATTTGAAGGGGGCGAGTGGACAAGTGACAAAAGGGTGGGCACATGCAATTCTGAGGTTGGCACGTGCTTTTCCTGATCTGCAAAAAGTGCTGCGTGTTATGATGAAGGGGGCAATACCTGATGGCGGACTGCAGTATGCCGCAGTGACCAACATTATGAAATAATGCAACAAGGGGAAAAAGTGGTCACGTTTTGGCAAGGGATAGTTTGTTCTGGTGAACAGAGAGGCTGTGCTAGCGACATCACTGACATGGGGAGTCAACCTCAGTTGCCTCATCCACGGCGCACTGGCGACTACTTGTGGAGAGACATTGCATCCCGGCTTGTCAACAAGAGACGCAATAGTTAGTGCTCGGCCACGGCATCACACATAGACACACCCACACACCACGACAGACCATGTTAGACTGCAGGGATGAGGACAGACATGCAGAGCATAGAGCAATAGAGTAGTAGCATGAATAACCATTGCACATACGTTTTGATGCGCGTGGGAAGCTCAAACTATGCATCCGTCTATGTCTGTGTATCATGTATGTTAGTCTTCAATTTCAACGACGATCAGGTTCACTACTGCGTGGTGTATCCGTATCCACCGGTGCTGTTTATTGTCGTTCTAGCCCACAGAGTGAACCTCTCTCTCTCTCTCT